GTTGCTATGCCTGTTTTTTATTTTCTGAATCTATGATCAAGGTTGCTATCCCTGTTTTTATTTTCTGAATTTATGATCATGGTTGTTATATCTGTTGTAATTTCTGAATCTATGATCATGGTTGCTATCCCTGTTTTTATTTTCTGAATCTATGATCATGGTTGCTAATTCCAAAAGCATTGTACAACTTTCTAACTTAAATAGTTGTGCTAACACAATCATGTTTGCAATCTGTCCTCACTTGGCCTTTTGAATACAGACTTATTATATAACTAAAGAGAAAAGAATTAAATCGAATGGGTGATAGGAAAAAAAGAATTAACATTATTATTATTTCCTTTGATTTCTGTTGTATACAACTTACCTTCTGGGTACCAACAAGAGACCTAAGGTCAGAAATGGTATCATGACATTTTTCACTAATATTTTTGGAAAAAAACCAAAAGACAAATGAAAAAGAAAAAACCAAGATCACACTCATTTTGCATATTTCCTTCCGGGTCCCAACCAGAAACCTAAGGTCAGAAATGGATTCATGGCATTTTCCACTGATCATCTTTGTATACACCCCTATCCCCCAAAAATCCTAAGATCACACATATTTTACATAGATAAAGATCTTCGTAATGTGTAAGCTGAACTTGTCAGTGCAATCTTTTGTAATTTTTAAGGTATGGACTACTAGGAATCCCTTCAATGAATCTATCAGAATATTTTACAATCAATCCGAGGGCTCCAACTACTACTGGAATTATTGATGTGCCCTCATGTGCCACATTTTTTAGATTTCCATTTCAAGATCCTTATATTTTGATAGATTTTTTGAAGATCTTCAAAGATACAATTCCAATAAGAAAGCACATTCTGTCCTTGTGGTCTTTGATCATGATATCTTGGTGAATAGCTTTGATTGTTACAGGTCCTGTCTCTGTAACTGGGCCTGGGGGATGTTCATACCAATTTCTTGTAGTTTCCTTCCCATAAATGTGGCATATTTTTTGTGCAAATATTGACAAATATTGATATCATGCCAAGTTTTATATTCAGTGGGTGCTAATACATACAAGATAGTCAATTGTTTCTGGATATTTTTCACAGAATCTGCATTTGGGGTCAACACAATTTTTCAGTATGTGTAGTTGGTAATTTCTAGTTAGCAAGCATCATCATCAGCATTATTATTATTATTATTATTATTATTTCCTTTGATTTTTACATAGATAAAGCTCTTCGTAATGTGTGAGCTGTACTTGTGAGAACAATTTTTTGTATCTCTTTAAGGCATGGGTGACCAGGAATCTCTTCAATAAGTTTATCAGAACCTTTTTCAATCAATTGAGGGCTCCAACTACAACCAGAATTATTGATATGCACTCATGTGCTACATTTTAGAGAAAGAGATGATGATGATGATGATGATGATACCACTACCACCACCAACACCATCATCATTATTATTATTATTATTATTATCTTTGATTTTTGGCGTTTACACATTTCTTTCCTGGTCCCGCCCAGGGACCTAAGGTTAGAAATGGCGTCATGACACTTTCCACTGACAAAAAAAAAAAAAAAAAAAATTAAATTACATAGATAAAGCCCTTCGTAAGGTGTGGGCTGTACTTGTCAGAACAATTTTATTATTATTATTATTATTATTATTATTATTATTATTATTATTATTTCCAAATTCCCTCTCTTTCTTTGTTTACTCCCTGGCTCTCTGTAAGCTTTGTTTACATCACTTTTTCTATTTCATTCTTTACCTATTTAGTTATTGGCAACAAGATTATTTAAGTTAGAAAGCCCGGTATGCTTTAAGAATTAGTAACCGCACTCAGAGATTGTTACTTGGGATTGAACACCAGTTCTTCTTCCTTATTTCTACTTCCCTTTCCTCTGCTTCTTTCTTATTCACTTCATTCTTTTCCTTTCTTTTTCATTTATTTCTCTGTCCAATTATTCCTCCTTTTTTCCCCCTCCTCATTTTTTTTTTATCTTTCGATCTCTTTCCTTATTTCTTATTGCTTTATTTGGATTTTTTTTTCTCCTATTTATTTCTCTTTTATTCTCTTCATTCACTTTCCTTCACCTCCAAAGTTATCATCCTGATGATTTCCATAAGACCAAAATGGTAAATGGAAGGAAGCAAAACAATAAAACTCTAGAATTCAAAGAGCATATTCTGTAATCCTCATGTTTCCTTATGAAAATCAGTTTTGGTTAAAAAAAAAAAAAAATCAAAAATAAATCAAACAATAAAAATTCCATGAAGTCTTCGTTGTACTGGTCACTTAGAGGTGTGTAGACTTTGACCACCATTACTGGATCTTTTCTTCCAATATTCAAGCTATTTTCAGGAACATGCTTTTAGCATTAATTGCTGCATCATCTTCTAGAACATTCCACATCAGGATCAATTTGCATCAGCATGACCAAAAAGAAGCAAAGAATTCCAAAGTAAAGAAATAGGAAGAAAAAAAGAAACGGTAAGGAAAAACTAGTGTAAAATAGACCCCGGGATACATATGCACCCACACATGCACCCACACATGCACCTACACATTTGTGTTCAGAGAAAGATAAGCTTAGCAGTTTATTTATCTTAATATGGTGGGTATAAGTACACTTATATATATATATATATATATATATATATATAGATAGATAGATAGATAGATAGATATATGTGTGTGTGTGTGGCCAAAATTTTGAATGAGATGCTGAAAATAGACAAGATAGGTATACATGCATTTACTTACAGTACTCTATGTATAACAGGGCTAAAAATTATAATAAAATATATATTTTTTCCTCAAAATGTATATTTATTATAAGTATAAATACAAATATAAAATATATATATATATATATATATATATATATATATATATATATATATATATATATATATTTGTGTATTTAACCAGCAATCCTTCTTTTATGTACATTTCATTGAATATGACAGACAAGATGCATTGATTTACTTTTTTTATACAATTTCTCATGTGATCTAATAATTTTTTCTTTTCGGATGATAAATTATATAAAAACTGTTCAATTTTTCTTTTTATCCAAGCGCTTTCGGCTATGCATTTACCCATTTTCAAGGTTGAAATATATTAACTGTTAACAAGACCTTGTTTGTCATATTCAATGAAATATGCATATATATATATATATATATATATATATATATATATATATGAAAAAGAAAATGCAACTGGCGTCTTTAAGAATACTTATTTGGAGTAATTTGTTTTATGATTTTTTAAAGGCTAAATTGTGATGAAGAGACATATGGCTATGTGATGGTATGTCTCACATTTCAAGACAAATGAACTTTTAATAATTCTGTGCACATCTATGTTATTCTCTTCATATCTATCTATTGATCTATCTATTCACTCTATATATCTATCTATTCACTCTCTTAGTATCTATCTATCTATCACTCTGTCTATTCACTCTGATAATATCTATCTTTATATTTACTCTGTTAATATCTATCTATCTATCTATCTATCTATCTGTCTATCTATGTATTCACTCTGTTAATATCTATCTATCTTTTCACTCTGCTAATATCTATCTATCTTTTCACTCTGTTAATATCTATCTATCTTTTCACTCTGTTAATATCTATCTCTTCATCTTTTAATATCTATCTATCTCTTCACTCTGTTAATATCTATCTATCTCTTCACTCTGTTAATATCTATCTATCTTTTCACTCTGTTAATATCTGTCCATCTATGTACTTAACTAAATATGTGAATATGTTAAATGTATATGCAATCAATGCTCATTTATTTGACAGAGCAGAGAAAAGTTGTCAGCCCAAACGAGAAGGGATTTAAAAAACTATTCTGTTTATATAGCAAGTTTTAAACAATATAAGCACAATATAAGCATATATATATATATATAACTATATATATATATATATATATATATATATATATTGTGTGTGACGCATGTATGTATATACATACATTTACATATCTGTGATGTGTGAGACTAGTTATATAAAAAAGAAAACACATTTACTTACTTATGTATATATATATGTATATATGAAAATCACTGTGTGCATATATATATATATATATATATATATATATATATAGATTTATTAATATAAAAATTATTTTTAGTGAGTATATGTGTTTGGGTTAAGATCTACTAAAGAAAATTGTTTTTCTGACAGGAATTGAACCTACATCCCTTTTTCCTATGAACAAAACCATTTTTTGAGTTAAAGTGTGCCTCTGTTAGTTCAACCTCATAGACCAGCCTGAAGAAAGTATGTTTTTGTGATTGCAACAGAAACACATGTGCCCACTAAAAATAGTATTTATAGAAGTAAGAAATAATGTTGAATAAAAAATCCCTTCACAATAATGTTAAATAAAAAATCCCTTCAAAATAATGTTAAATAAAAAATCCTTTCAAAATGACTGTTAGTTACATTTTGAGTACAAAACTGAAGCTAGTACATATAGATTTGTAGCGGACTGTGGGTTTACGTGTTGTTAAATTAGGAACACTTGAGTTTATTCCTGCTAGAAGGTCCAACTACAAGAACATGGTGGACTCAGAGATTGAATCCACCATAAAGAAGTGTAAAAAAAACCAACAAGCCTGATATATGTATCAAGTATATGTCTTAAACAACAAAATTTATAATAGACAGAGATTAACATTTGTGTTTGAGTGTGAACGTAAAAAGTTTGTATTTTAGTGAATGTTTGTATATATGTGTATGTGTGTATGTGTGTTTCATGGCATTTGCCCACAAGTGTGCAAAATGCAGATCTTTACCAGAGATCACATTTTTAAATGCGTCTGTGGAAATGCAAAGTAAAAAGAGAACGAGGCCAGAAATCGCACAGTATTTATAGGGTAGGGAGAGTTTGTCCTACTGAACAGTTAGGAAATTAATTATACATATATATAAATAATGGTACTTGTTTGGAAAAAACTTAGGTATTTCAGCTTGTAATTGAACAAATCAATGCTCAAGGAAAAATGAGGAATAAAAAAAGAAAGAACTAAGAACATGAAACAATCGTCCAGAATTCAAGCTCAGAGTCCAAAGAAAAAACCCTCCAAAATTATTAAAAGTAACTACGTAAAGTGCTCAATACACAAAATAGAGCAAGCCTAATATAAACCTAAAAAGCCAGGTAAACCTACCTAGGTTTCACCTAAATGGATCATCAGGGGCCAGTTCACCCATCAATTTAGGTGAAACCTAGGTAGGTTTACCTGGCTCTTTAGGTTTATATATATATATATATGTGTGTGTGTGTGTGTGTGTGTGTGTGTGTGTGTGTGTAAAATATATAGAAAATAGGAAAGAACTTGTTCTTGTTTTGAAACATGAGAACTCTTATGTAGCATTGGAATCATATTTTTAAATAAATAGTTATATATATATATATATATTTTCAGTTGTATGGACCCTGGATTTCATACTTTTGCAATCATCAGACAAACTAGTTTATTTTTTAAAATTGAATCTATTTATACTAGTTTGGTGGTGGGAGAGGAAATCTACTTCTGTGTTTGTTTGGGGTGACACTCTCATAGGCATAGACACACATATATACAGGTATAGACATTTTGGTTCACACGAAAACATTCATTTAAACAATCCACAGATAGATATCCATGCATTCGGGCATGCATATATATGCAGTTGCAGTTCTATTTTGGTGTCGAGACCATACTTTTTATATATGTAGCGATGTTCCTTTCAACAAGGAGTGAGTAGGGGTGTTCATGACGCTTAACACCTGTGCCATCATATATATATATATATATATATATATATGTGTTTAAAAACTAGGATATATAATCATAACAAAGTCATTTTAAATTTTTGACAGTTGGAAACATTCATGAAAATAGATTTGTTTAGAAATATATTCAATAATGCATTTCGGCATTTAAGGCTTCATCAGATCTGAAAGCGAAAGAATGAAATACATAATTGTGTGTGGGTATATATATATATATATTAATTATTAGGAGGATTTGATAATTATATTTAATTAATTCATCGAGTCTGATAGAAATCTCAACAGAATGCAGAAAGCACTGGACGGCCATTTCGTCCTATATTTGGGACTCATCAGCAGTCCGCATCCACTACCGAGAATTGAAAGTGGATGCGCACTGCTGATGAGTTCCAAATATAGGACAAAACAGCCGTCCCATGCTTTCTGCATTCTGTTGAGGTTTCTATCAGACTCGATGAATTAATTAAATATAATTATCAAATCCTCCTAATAATTACTATCTGTGTTTATCATTGCTTGAACCGGCTTCTAATGCTCCAGTGTGAGCAGCTTGGTGAGAGTAGTCGTGGCTCCAGGGGGCACAGTCCTATGGTTACAGAGAATGCAGTATGTTTCCGCCACGGAATATGGGAGCGAGCAGCGCTATGTTGTGTCTGATTTGCAATCTCTTCATCACCGAGGCCCATTGGAACAGTTGGTATGACATTTGCTTGATAACCTAACTGTCAGGGTTTCAATTCTCCGTAGTGGATGCGCACTGTTGAGGTTTCTATCAGACTCAGTGAATTAATTAAATATATATATATATATATATATATGCAAAGCACAATAAAAAAAATATGAACTTTGTTAAATTTATGGATTATATAAAACAATTAATTTTAAAAATTTTAATAAAAACACTTGGATAGACAGAACTTGTCAATATTATTTGAGCAAACATGTTTGAAATCTCTATCTATCTCTCTCTCTCTCTATATATATATATATATATATTTTTGTTTGAATAAAAACAGACCACTTTAAGGTTCCATGTAATAAGTTATTTCACCACAACCCTTTTAAAGGGCTCTGGATCATCAGACTTTACTTCCAAAAGTTGAAATGAAAAAAAAAAAAAAGATTGACAAATTTACTATTGTCTAATTTTGAAATTTAGGTAAAAAAAATACAGAGAATGATCATAAATATTAAAATAATAATAATATTGTAATAAAACATGAAAAATAAAAAAAATCTATTATTATTATTATTATTATTTTAGATATTCATTTACTAATTACTTTCTGAAAAATATCATAAAAAAATGAAAAATAAAAATGATCTGTTATTATTATTGTTGTAACGTACCTACAGACAAAAATGGGTATGTCCCCATTCACATAAATACAATAGTAAATACTGTATGTTAATCTACAGTTGGAGATTCATCTTCAGCTGTGTTGGTTAAATGCTTTACCTCTGGACAGAGGCTATGTCAAAGGGCAGAGTCTTGTCTCAGGAAACAGCTATGCAACCCTGTTTTATATGGGGTTTACAGGGAATTTCTGGCTGAGCCTTGTGCCACGTCTGACCACGTGGGGTGGTTGGTAGATATCCTGCAGTTGGAGATTTATTGTGGAATTCACTCATTTCTAGCAGTTGACTACTTCTTCTACGTGCCACTGGCGAATCTTATATGTGTTGTTCTTGTCCTAAGTATTATCGTTTATTACCAACCATTGTGCGATTATTCTATTCAGTAACATTCTCTAGATTACAACAATTATTATCTTAGATATTCATTTAAAATTTACTTTTTGAAAAATATCATTATCCTGAATTTTAAAGAATTCCACAAAAACAATCTTTTTTCGTGAAAAATATTCCTCATCTTTGAACTTGCTTTTTTTTTACTTACTTCTATTAATTTAAATCACACATTTTTCATTGCATTTGCACTGAAGAATAAATATAACAGTTGGGTGCAAACAAGTACCAGCCCTCATGAGTCTACTCCAAACCTGTTAATTCCATCTGTAAAAAAGAAGTTTATTTTATACAGCTTCTTTCCAAGAGCCACTGGTTTGTGGAACACTCCCGAGAGGACACTTCAAGTCCAAGGACAGTCATTATCTTACATATTCTGATACTTTACAATTCTTACATCTATAAAAGAACTCCATTCAGAAAACTTCTACCTTGAGTGACTCATGGGCCTCATATTAGGTGAACAAATATCAAGCTTAATTTATTATCACTGAATAGTATATAGAGCGGTAGTTATTCAAACCAAAAGAGCTCTTCACAGATATTTCAGATGTAAGGTAACTTTTGAAAATAGAGTAGATGATATCTTCTATGATAAAAGATTATCTCTTCTTTATTTTCTTAAAAAGAACATCTGCAAAGATGAAATCTCAACTCTCAATTTGGTTTCTACGCTGATAACACAACCATTTATTCCTGTTTCAATAGAAAGGATGATCAGGCTGACAAGTTCAAACTGGCAACTGATGTCCAAAACGACCTTGAGTCCATCATTAACTGGGCCAAAAGATAGCTTGTCAATTTTAACACCTCTAAAACTAAACTTCTCTCTATTAATCATCTGAGAGACCCCACTCTGCCTTCCATCAGCATGGCTGATGCTAACCTCCAGGTGACCCGTTGCACCTTCTCGGGCTCATATTCTCAGCTGACATGAAGTGAAAAGACTATATTGGATCCATTGCTAGGTCAGCTGTTAAGAAAGTTGGTTCACTCTGTTGAGTGAGACAATTTTTCTCTCCAGAATCTATCTTACATAGGTATAAGTCTATCATTCATCCATGCTTAGAATATAGCTGTAACTTATAATCTGGTGCTCCTATTT